TAAAGCCAGTTTGTTATTTAGAATGATTTATTTCTGTTTTTAGAGGGAGAGAAACCAAAAGGCCACCGTGCCTATTTTTTGTGTGTAATTGCGCCAAGTTCTCTCCAAACTCTGGGACCACCTTCCAGCTATTTTATTTTTTTGCCTGATGCAGGACTCTAGTGCCAGAGAAGAGAGACTCTCGGACTGAAACATTCACACCTCCGTTAATTTACAAAAAGATAGTCAATTTGTGCCACAGTTCAGACTACTGATAGATCAGCGTTCTAACTCCCCCTTGTGATAGTGTGGTGCAATGACAGAATGATGCAATTTCCACAATCTGTCACCATCTACCACAAATGGTCGCAGCATAAGCTCTAAACTTTTAATTGAGGAACCACTGTACATGTTGGTGTTTTATTCCTTTTCCTCATTTTCTAATTTAACTGTAAGATGTAAATATTGTGTTTTTTATTGTGCCTGGAGGCTGTTGCCATAGTGATAACCAAAACATACCTAATGAGGAGCAACAAGACGCTGCACTTGACACATTTATGAAATTGCTTATCCCAGTTACTAATAAGCATTCACCCATTAAGAAAATTACTGTAAAAACGGTTAAATCCCTGTGGATTGATGAGGAATTGAAAAATGGTATGGTTGAGAGGGATGAGGCAAAAGGAATGGAAAATAAGTCTGGCTGCACAACTGATTGGTAAATGTACTGCAAATTGAGAAATCATGTGACTAAACTGAATAAAAATAAGAAGAAACTACACTATGAAAAAAGATAAAGGACAAAGAATAATAGTAAAAAGCTTTGGAGACCTTAAATGAAATGTATGGGCAAAAAGGCAAACTCAGCTCTATCATTCATTCATAAAACCCACTGATATTACCAACTACTTTAATGATTTTTTCATTGGCAAGATTAGCAAATTTAGACATGCCAGCAACAAATGCTGACACTACACATCCAAGTATATCTGACCAAATTACGAAAGACAAGCATTGTAATTTGGAATTCCGTAAAGTAAGTGTGGAAGAGGTGAAAAAATGATTGTTGTCTAGCCACAATGACAAGCCTGACAACTTGGATGGAAAATTACTGAGGATAATAGCGGATGATATTGCCACTCCTATTTGCCATATCTTCAATTTAAGCCCCCCTGGGAATCGAACTCACAACCCTGGCATTGCAAGTGCCATGTTCTACCAACCGAGTCACATGGGATTATTTAAAATGACCAGTAGTTAATGACAGGGTGTGCCTGTTACAATTATTGTTAGCTACTAGGTTCTAGCCTATTTATTAACCCTGGTATTACATGTGGATTCGATGGTAGTGGCACCTTGTAGTTACATGTAAGAAGGTCAGAGTTTGGTTAGACTTATTAACATGGTAATTCACAGGTGACTTTCAAACGTGTAATTACATAGTGGAACAAGAACATTTGTAATAACATCAGTAATTAGACATGTGGAATAAATTTCAGCATGTTAAATGTGCAACCAGAGGAAAAAAAACTCTAGACCACCTTTACTCCACACACAGAGATGCGTACAAAGCTCTCCCTCGCCCTCCATTTGGCAAATCTGACCATAACTCTATCCTCCTGATTCCTGCTCATAAGCAAAAACTAAAGCAGGAAGCACCAGTGACTCGGTTAATAAGGAAGTGGTCAGATGACGCAGATGCTAAGCTACAGGACTGTTTTGCTAGCACAGACTGGAATATGTTCCGGCATTCTTCCGATAGCGTTGAGGAGTACACCACATCAGTCACTGGCTTCATCAATAAGTGCATCGATGACGTCGTCCCCACAGTGACCGTACGTACATACCCCAACCAGAAGCCATGGATTACAGGCAACATCCGCACTGAGCTATAGGGTAGAGCTGCCGCTTTCAAGGAGCGGGACTCTAACCTAGACGCTTATAAGAAATCCCGCTATGCCCTCCGACGAACCATCAAACAGGCAAAGAGTCAATACAGGACTAAGATTGAATCGTACTACACCGGCTCTGACGCTCGTCGGATGTGGCAGGGCTTGAAAACTATTACAGACTACAAAGGGAAGCACAGCCGCGAGCTGTCCAGTGACACAAGCCTAGCAGACAAGCTAAATCACTTCTATGCTCGCTTCGAGATAAGCAACACTGAAGCATGCATGAGAGCATCAGCTGTTCCGGATGACTATGTGATCTCAGTCTCCATAGCCGATGTGAGTAATACTTTTAAGCAGGTCAACATTCACAAGGCCGCAGGGCCAGACGGATTACCAGGACGTGTACTCCGAGCATGCGCTGACCAACTGGCAAGTGTCTTCACTGACATTTTCAACATGTCCCTGACTGAGTCTGTAATACCAACATGTTTCAAGCAGACCACCATAGTCCCTGTGCTCAAGAACACTAAGATAACCTGCCTAAATGACTACCGACCCGTAGCACTGACGTCTGTAGCCATGAAGTTCTTTGAAAGGCTGGTCATGGCTCACATCAACACCATTATCCCAGTAACCCTAGACCCACTCCAATTTGCATACCACCCCAACAGATCCACAGATGATGCAATCTCTATTGCACTCCACACTGCCCTTTCCCACCTGGACAACAGGAACACCTATGTGAGAATGCTATTCATTAACTACAGCTCAGCGTTCAACACCATAGTGCCCTCAAAGCTCATCACTAAGCTAAGGACCCTGGGACTAAACACCTCCCTCTGCAACTGGATCCTGGACTTCCTGACGGGCTGCCCCCAGGTGGTAAGGGTAGGTAACAACGTATCTGCCACGCTGATCCTCAACACGGGGCCCCTCAGGGGTGCATGCTCAGTCCCCTCCTGTACTCCCTGTTCACCCATGACTGCATGGCCAGGCACGATTCCCAACACCATCATTAAGTTTGCCGACGACACAACAGTGGTAGGCCTGATCACTGACAACGAGGGAGGAGGTCAGAGACCTGGCCGTGTGGTGCCAGGATAATAACCTCTCCCTCAACGTGATCAAGACAAAGGAGATGATTGTGGACTACAGGAAAAAAAAGAGGACTGAGCACGCCCCCATTCTCATCGACGGGGCTGTAGTGGAACAGGTTGAGAGCTTCAAGTTCCTTGGTGTCCACATCACCAACAAACTATCATGGTCCAAACACACCAAAACAGTCATGAAGAGGGCACGACAAATCCTATTCCCTCTCAAGAGACTGAAAAGATTTGGGATATGGATTCTACAGCTGCACCATCAAGAGCATCCTGACTAGTTGCATCACCGCCTGGTATGGCAACTGCTCGGCCTCCGGCCGCAAGGCACTACAGAGGGTAGTGTGTACGGCCCAGTACATCACTGGGGCCAAGCTTCCTGCCATCCAGGAGCTCTATACCAGGTGGTGTCAGAGGAAGGCCCTAAAAATTGTCGAAGACTCCAGCCACCCTAGTCATAGACTGTTCTCTCTGCTACCGCACGGCAAGCGGTACCGGAGCACCAAGTCTAGGTCCAAAAGGCTTCTTAACAGCATCTACCCCCAAGCCATAACACTCCTGAACAGCTAATCATGGCTACCCAGACTATTTGCGTTGCCCCCCCCCACCTCACCCCAACCCCCTCTTTTACGCTGCTGCTACTCTGTTTATTATTTATGCATAGTCACTTTGACTCTACCCACATGTACATATTTCCTGAATTACCTCGACTAACCGGTGTCCCCGCACATTGACTCTGTACCGGTACCCCCTATATATTGCCTCCCTACTGTTATTTTATTTTACTGCTGCTCTTTAATTATTTGCTATTTTGTATTTTTAACTTATCTGTTTTTTACTTAACTTTTTTTTTTTTTCTTAAAAAACTGCATTGTTGGTTAAGGGCTTGTAATTAAGCATTTCACTGTAAGGTCTACACCTGTTGTATTCGGCGCATGTGGCAAAAAAAAATACATATTCCTTTTTCCAATTGTGAGCATTACAACCTTATTACCATGTAATTACATAGTAACACCTATGTTGTTACTACAGTTATTACTGTGTTGTTACATAGTAATAGGGGGTTGTAGAATGCATTATATCACATTCCCCAAAAATTATTCCAATTAAATAGGAATATATAAATTATTGATCCCACCTGCCACATGCACTTATGTAAGCTTTTACATAAGCTTTAGAGCTGGCAGTGATCATGTTCAAAGTTTTCTGACCGACAAAAAAACATACAACAGAACACTTCACCTATAATAACATTCTCAGTAACGGTTGTTTATCTACCTTAATTTAATGCACTGACTAAGTTGCTCTGGATAAGAGCGTCTGCTAAATGACCAACATTTTTAATGCAAAAACTACCACTTGCAAAGCACACTGGGTATTATTCTAATGAGCTCCGCAGCCAAACAAGACCAAATTTGGTCAGTACGGACCGGACCAAATCTGAACCAATCATAGACGTCTACGTTTCACATGTTTGGACAGCACCGTGCAGTATATCACAGTACAGTAAGTAGAGCACAGAGTAGTACAGTAAAGTTTAGTTCAGTAGAGTAGAGCACAGTGCAGTAGAGTACAGTACAATATATTACACTGTACTTTACTGTGTTGTACTGTACTCTACTGAACTATACCGTACTTGTCTTTACTATATTGATCTAGTGTGCTCTACTTACTGTACTGTGCTATCCAAATTTGTGAAACATAGACGTCTATGGTTGGAACAAATCAAGCTGGACCGGACCAAATCTGAACCAATTATAGATGTCTATGTTTGGGCCACACTTAGGCTGGTCCGGATCGGACTTCTGTGGACGTTGAATTCAAGGCCGGTAAGGACCGGACCAAAAATCAACATCCGTGGGTATTGAAATCAAGTCCGGACCGGACCAAAAATAAATAAATAAAAAGACTCCGGTCCGGACAACAACAAAAAAGACGTCCATGGACGTCGCCCGGTTCTCAGTGGGGTCAAAGAGTGACATTTTATGTTTTCCTGCAGAACAAGTACAAGGAGAAGTATACCAACCACATGAAAGGGCACTATGAAGGCTCTGGGATGGACAAGAATACCGTGCACGCTATGGAAGTCAGAAAGCTGGCAAGCAATGTAAGACTTCCTTTGTTTTTACTCTGAAATAATGTACTACATGACCTAAAGTATGAACATCTCATTCCAAAATCATGGGCATTAATATGAAGTTGGTCCACCCTTTACTACTATAACAGCCTCCACTCTTCTGGGAAGGCTTTTCACTGGATGTTGGACCATTACTTACTTCCATTCAGCCACAAGAGCATTAGTGAGGTCGGGCACTGATGTTGGGCGATTAGGCTCGCAGTCGGCGTTGCAATTCATCCCAAAGGTGTTCGATGGGGTTGAGGTCAGGGCTCTGTGTAGGCCAGTCAAGTTCTTCCACACCGATCTCGACAAACCATTTCTGTACGGACCTCACTTTGTGCATGGGGGCATTGTCATGCTGAAACAGGAAAGGGCTGTTGCCACAAAGTTGGAAGCACAGAATCGTCTAGAATGTCATTGTGTGCTGTAGCGTTAACATTTCCCTTCACTGGAACTAAGGGGCCTAGCCCGAATCATGAAAAACAGCCCCAGACCATTATTCATCCTCCACCAAACTTTACAGTTGGCGCTATACATTCTGGCAGGTAGCTTTCTCCTGACATCCGCCAAACCCAGATTCGTCCGTCGGACTGCCAGATGGTGAAGCGTGATTCATCACTCCAGAGAACGCGTTTCCAATGCTCCAGAGTCCATTGGCTGCGAGCTTTACACCACTGCAGCCGACGCTTGGCATTGTGCATGGTGATCTTAGGCTTGTGTGCGGCTGCTTGGCCATGGAAACCCATTTCATGAAGCTCCCGACGAACAGTTATTGTACTGAGATTTCTTCCAGAGGCAGTTTGGAACTCGCTAGTGAGTTTTGTATCCGAGGACAGACGATTTTTACGCGCTACGCGCTTCAGCACTCGCCGGTACCGTTTTGTGAGCTGGTGTGGCCTACCACTTTGTGGCAGAGCCGTTGTTGCTCCTAGATGTTTCCACTTCACAATAACATCACTTACAGTTGACCTGGGCCTATCAAATAAATGATAGAAGTACACCAGAATACAAAAATAGCTTTATTTAGAAAAATAGGATTCTGTTGTTGAGCAATACTAAGGTTTCTTGTACAAGTATACACTGTTTCTTTAAGACCAACTCTACCACAATTGCAACTGTATTAAGTCATAGATTAGGTTAGAATATAAATTGTTAGGATGCACTGCACACTTCTAATTAGAAATACACCCAATAGTAATTTGAAAACTGTCACCAATTATACATGCGTGTTTACTCAATAAGTCTCACGTTTAGGTTATCAAAAAGCAAGCAAGTATCAAAATGCAAGCAAGTTAGTTAAGGTTCACTCAATAAGTTCTACAATTATCCTGGCACTGCAATGCAACACTGTGGGAAGTGGCTCTAATACTTCGTTTAGGATCGTCGTTCCACGAATAGAGTGCCTTCTATGTCTCTCAGGAATTATGCTTGTACATTTTCATAAAACAGTTGGATCACATACATCCTTTCCACATAACCATGTAAAAAATTCCAATAGCAGTTTTTTATTTATAAAATTATTTGTTTTCTCTGAAAACCCCCCTTTTGGAATGTCCCACATTTATAATATTTTTTCTTAATTTAACCTCGAGCTAGGAAAGCATGTTTGTTATGAAGTTGAACATGTGATCTTTATAACAGAATGTTAAAATTGCGTGAAATATAGTTATGTTTTTACAAAATTACACTACCAGAAAGACACTCTAATCGTGGAATGGATAAGCAATTACAATTAGTGAATCCTTAGATTCACATCAGTTTCACCAAGAACCACCCAGAGCGGTCTGCTTCAGCTTCACCATGATGTTCAACCTCATTCAAACAAAGCAGGCACATGGATATGACCCAAGGTAAAGGAGTCTCTCCAAGTGCCTGATTTTAGAATTCACTTTATATAGGGAAGTCAGGAAATTAGTCAGGACCTTTTAAGGTCCTGCCTGATACATAAAGGTTGACCATCTAAGGCCCTACCTCTTATACATGCATACAAATTCACGTGGGTGGCCCCAGTGCGAATAGAACCTATGATCCTGAAGTTGCAAGTGCCATACTCTAAGCCTCAGAGGACTGAGCCACACAGGATCTTTCTTTAATTTCTCTTTTTCATGGTGTAGTTTATTTTATTGGTAAATGTGGCACATATAATGTATTATTCCATCAGCCATCAGTACTCAGCTCTCTGTGTTCTGTCTCATGCATGCCTGTATATCTGTATTGCCCCCCTCTATGGCTGCTGGGGATCAATAACGTTTATTCAAATGTTGCTGTGCACTGCAGATTGCCTACAAGCAGGAGTATGAGCAGGAGAAAACTGACCATGTGGAATACAACTACCCAGCCACCATCACACCAGGCTACCAGAGTCAGAGGAAACTGGATCCACTCAAGGACGTGAGTTTCCCCTTCGCCTCAAATAAGTTTAACATGGCTCTCATATCAAACATAGTAACCAAAACCAGTCAACAGGGTGCTTTCTCAGATAGCAAAACAGAAAGCAGAACATTTTGATTGGGTTCCTCTTCAGGTCTGTATATTTAAATAGTGGGCTATTTTAAAGAGGCAAACTTAGGGGGGTCTAGTAGCTGGGTAAACCATTTAAAACTTGGATCATCCACTATACTAGACTAAAATATAGAGTGAGCTCAACCCATGATATCTAAATCATAACCGCACCGTTGACTTCACATCTTCTCAATTGCAGCAACATCTGCTCTTTTTGTATTTGTATTTATGGGTCCCCATTAGCTGCTGCCAAGGCAGCAGCTACTCTTCCTGGGGTTCAGCTAAATTAAGGCATTTATAAAAAATTTTAAAACATTACAATACAGATTTCACAACACATTAAGTGTATGCCCTCAGGCCAAAACTCTACTACCACATATCTACAACACAAAATCCATGTGTACGTGTGTGTATAGTGCGTATGTTATCGTGTGTGTGTATGCATGTGTCTGTGCCTATGTTTGTGTTGCTTCACAGTCCCCGCTGTTCCATAAGGTGTATTTGAATCTGTTTTTTAAATCTAATTTTACTGCTTGCATCAGTTACTTGGTGTGGAATAGAGTTCCATGTACTCATGGCTCTATGTAGTACTGTGCGCCTCCCATAGTCTGTTTTGGAATTGGGGACTGTGAAGAGACCTCTGGTGGCATGTCTTGTGGGGTATGCATGGGTGTCTGAGCTGTGTGCCAGTAGTTCAAACAGAGCTCGGTGCATTCAACATGTCAATACCTCTCACAAATACAAGTAGTAGTTAAGATGGCAGAGCAGCGCTTTATTATGGACAGACTTCTCCCCATCTTAGCTACTGTTGTATCAATATGTTTTGACCATGACAGTTTATAATCCAGGGTTACTCCAAGCAGTTTAGTCACCTCAACTTGCTCAATTTCCACATTATTCATTACAACATTTAGTTGAGGTTTAGGGTTTAAGTGAATGATTTGTCCCAAATACAATGCTTTTAGTTTTTGAAATATTTAGGACTAACTTATTCCTTGCCAATTAATTCTGAAACTAACTGCAGCTCTTTAAGTGTTGCAGTCATTTCAGTCACTGTGGTAGCTGACTATCTTTTTCATCCTTCCATCTCTGCTGCTTTTCACCCCTTCGCATTTTATCATGCTTTTCGAAAGGCACAATTGCTAACGTTCATAAAGTCCTGCCCTGAACTTATTTGTCAACTGTGTGCGTATGTCTCACACCTAACACATCCCACCATCTATGGTTTTGGGGGCAGTTATCCTTACCACAGGATTCAAATAACTCAGTGGTAGAAAAAATATGTTCAGAGGCAGCACTACAGATGTTTCTTTAAGTACTGCATCTTTTACCCTGATACATTAATAATTGATTGCATCTCTGATCTCCCCATGTAGAAGAACTACAGACAGCACATTGACCAAGTCAAGTACAGCTCGGTGACAGATACCCCTGACATCGTCCAAGCCAGGATCAATGCTCAACAACTCAGCAATGTAAGTGCTTCTTGATGCTTTTTGATGTGGGGGTGGGGGGGGTGAGACATTATTGCATGTTTGAAATGGATTAATCATTCAGCTATTTTTCTAACCTAACCTGACACAATGCTGAACTGTGCAGTGATGTGAGCGTATATACAAACACACGCACCACAAGCTAATACACACTAATAAGTAATACTACCATATACCACTTTATTTCATCTTTATTTTAACAGGGAGTCCCATTGAGACCAAGGTATCTTTCACAAGGGAGCTCTGCATACACACAATTTACAAAATACTATAGAATACAAATATACAACAAAACAATCACATTCCTCAGCAAAGAGGTCCTCAATCAATATTTTGAACTACCTGAGTGGCACCAGTACATCCAGTTGTAGGGAACTTTGTTCCATACATGGGATGCAAAGAAACTAAAAGCTGATTTACCTAACTCTGAGGAGACCGAAGGGATTTCCCGAGTTAGCCATCCCTGAGACCATGTATGGTAACGTACGTCTAAAGGTTATTAATGATGTTAGCTACGGCGTGAGGTTTTGTAAAAGAGACTTATAAATAAAAAGAGAAATGAATCGACCTACGTGACTTTAAAGAGGGCCAGCCTACTTTCTGGTAAATAATGCATTGATGTGTACTGAAGCTGTGGCCCGTAATAAAACGAAGTGTGCTATGGTAAACTGCATCTAACGGCTTTAATGAAGTGGCAGCTGCATTCATATAGATGATGTCGCCATAGTCTAGTACAGGTAGGAACGTCGATTGAATGATCTGCTTTCTACTATTAAGCGAGAGGAAGGACCTTGTTCTATAGAAGAAGCGCATTTTTATTCTTAGCTTCTTAATTAACTCATCAATATGTTTTTTAAAAGATACAGTAGCTTATCGTGTATCCAGATACCCAGATATTTGTATGCAGGGACATTATCAATGGGGGCACCATCCAAGGTACATACAGTGGGAAAAAAAGTATTTAGTCAGCCACCAATTGTGCATGTTCTCCCACTTAAAAAGATGAGAGAGGGAGATTATCAGTGGTCTTGTATGTCTTCCATTTCCTAATAATTGCTCCCACATTTGATTTCTTCAAACCAAGCTGCTTACCTATTGCAGATTCAGTCTTCCCAGCCTGGTGCAGGTCTACAATTTTGTTTCTGGTGTCCTTTGACAGCTCTTTGGTCTTGGCCATAGTGGAGTTTGGAGTGTGACTGTTTGAGGTTGTGGACAGGTGTCTTTTATACTGATAACAAGTTCAAACAGGTGCCATTAATACAGGTAACGAGTGGAGGTGTCACGATTGTCTAAGGATGAGGACCAATGCGCAGCGTTGAATGCGAACATCTTTTATTATATAAATGATCACACGATCAAAATAACAAACGAAAACGTGACGTCTACAGTTAAACACAAACCAACTAGAACAAGAAACCACAAACACAACGTGAAAGACAGATAGTTAAATATGGCTCCCAATCAGAGACAACGAGCCAACAGCTGACACTCGTTACCTCTGATTGGGAGTCACTCAAACAAAGAAATATAATAACCTAGAACCCACAACAAAACATAGAAACTAACACCCTGGCTCAACATACGAGAGTCCCCCGAGCCAGGGCGTGACAGTACCCCCCCCTAAAGGCGCGGACTCCGACCGCGCCAACGAAACACAACAGGGGAGGGACCGGGTGGGCACTCCGCCTAGGCGGCGGATCCGGCTCCAGTGGAACAGGCACGTGCCGTGCCGGACCGACGACGCACACCACTGGCTTGGTGTGGGGAACAGGCACGGGCCGTGCTGCACTGACGACGCACACCACTGGCTTGGTGTGGGGAGCAGGAGCGGGCTGGACAGGGCTGACGAACCGCCCCACAGACTTGGTGCTGGGAGCAGGAATGGGCCGGACCGGGCTGGCGACGCGCACCACAGACCTGGTGCGGAGAGCAGGAACGGGCAGAGCCGGGCTGACGAGACGCACCACAGACTTGACGCGGGGAGCAGGAATGGGTCGGACCGGGCTGGCGACGCGCACCCCCGACCTGGTGCGGGGAGCAGGAACGGGCAGAGCCGGGCTGACGAGACGCACCACAGACTTGATGCGGGGAGCAGGAATGGGCCGGACTGGGCTGGCGACGCGCACCGCAGGTTCGGTGCGGGGAGCAGGAATAGACCGGACCGTACTGGGGACACACACCACTGGCTCTACACCGGGATCTGGAACGGGCCGGACCGGACTGGCAACACACGCCAGTACCTCTCGCCGTGCCTCCACACCTTCCATCCCCTCTTCTACCAGTGGCCCCCGTAACCCGGCGGCCTTCTCCGGCAACCCACTGGACCGCTCTATCGCGGCCTCCTGCTGGTCCGCCGTCGTGAGCCCCCCCCTAAAAATTTTCGGGGCGTCTCTCCTACCCGTGGACCACGTCTCCATATCCCTCGCCAGCTTCTCGCCCTTCTGCCATAATGTCAAGCCCTTGTCTTCCTCCCTCGGCTTGACCCAGTCCAGGAGGCGAAGGAGATCTGTGAGGGATCTCCCTGGCGATGGCTCCTGAACACGCTGCTTGGTCCCATCTTGGTGGTTTCTTCTGTCACGATCGTCTAAGGATGAGGACCAATGCGCAGCGTTGAATGCGAACATCTTTTATTATATAAATGATCACACGATCAAAATAACAAACGAAAACGTGACGTCTACAGTTAAACACAAACCAACTAGAACAAGAAACCACAAACACAACGTGAAAGACAGATAGTTAAATATGGCTCCCAATCAGAGACAACGAGCCAACAGCTGACACTCGTTACCTCTGATTGGGAGTCACTCAAACAAAGAAATATAATAACCTAGAACCCACAACAAAACATAGAAACTAACACCCTGGCTCAACATACGAGAGTCCCCCGAGCCAGGGCGTGACAGGAGGACAGAGGAGCCTCTTAAAGAAGAAGTTACAGGTCTGTAAGAGCCAGAAATCTTGCTTGTTTGTAGGTGACCAAATACTTATTTTCCACCATAATTTGCAAATAAATTCATTAAAAATCCTACAATGTGATTTTCTGTATTTTTCTTCCTCATTTTGTCTGTCATAGTTGACGTGTACCTATGATGAAAATTACAGGCTTCTCTCATCTTTTTAAGTGGGAGAACTTGCACAATTGGTGGCTGACTAAATATTTTTTTCCCCCACTGTATGCTTAAATCATTAGTCATTTTTGTACGCTCTAGAAAACAACAGATACTTCGTTTAACCCACATTTAAGGTCAATAAAGGTTTTCAGTAAAACAGTGGAGGCAGACTGTAGTTCAGATAGAGCCTGGTCAACAGTGGGGGCAAAAGCATACACAATAGTATCGTCCGCATTCACTTGCTGTTGCGGTCATGAAATTTTGTCAGCCGGTGATTGTCAAGCAAATAACTGCCGGTCTCACGGTAATTGACCGTTAATTAACCTAAACACATTTAGCATCTCCTGGCTTCCACGCATAGCCTACAAGTCACTGATGCAGACCTTTGGAACATCTACATTTAAAAAAGTCTAATAAATCCATGTAATATAGCCTACACCATCACAATAAATCCATTATTTATTTTAGACAGGTCTAAAGGAACATGTAGTCTATTTCAGAAGAACGGAATAGCATACTCTGAGTTGTCCTTATGTTAGGTCCTGATCTGGCTATGCCACATGGATGTGGGCTACACTAGTTCATTGAGCAGTCAAGATTTGCTTAGAATTCAGTGGCATTATTTTATATTATTTTATAGTATGAAGAATACAATTGAACATAGCTGAATAAAATAGAAAGGATATTTTTTCTCCAAACAATTTGAGGGAGTGCGCACAAGCGTCTATTCTGTGTTGAGCGGTTAACAAAGAAACAGGTAGCCTAGTCCTATATGCTTAATTTAGAGTTATTTATGTAACTTTAGTTGTGATACAAACGTTGGGCTATATGTTTTGATATTTAATACATTCTAAGGCTGCATGATGCGACTCTAATGATGATTTGAAAAAAGTTGCATGAAAGGCATGAACTCTGCTTTGTTCTTTTGCACAGGCTGTACACACTTCATCAGTCTCTCATTCACAATTTGACAAGCACTTGATAATACCTCGAATTTCCCGGCAACATCCCCTTTGTGTGGTCGCAATGCCCCCTAAAAAATTCCATGCCTTTTGCGGTCAGTGGCCGTTGTGCCCTTGGGCTGAATAAAATAGTTATAATTCCCTTCTCCCTGCTGCATGCTCCAAAGCACCTCTCACTCAAATGGCTCTCCGTCACCAGGTCGCACAGTAGACAAGTGAAGATGGACACATTGGGGATACAACTGCGCTTCCAATTTCGAGGCACAGATATTGGAAGAACTGTCCATATTTACTTTGTCAGCCAACAAGATGATTAGGCCTAACGAACAGCAAAAGCACTAGCCTATGCCAATCTACTATCCCCCATAGTACAAAACTTGACCTATTCTATTGTGTGCGAGAAATAAATATTCCAAACATAGTCTGGGACAGTTGTGGGATGGGATGGATCCCAAATTAATACAACCACTAGCATCAAATAAACTTGTTTAAGCAATGAGGCTGACACAACAGATCAGAACCTTTAGCTTAAAATATTGCTAAACTATTAGGCTATTTCTTCACATTATAAGCGCAGAAATGCAGTAGGCTATAAGCGCAAATGTTCCATAAGCGGGAAAACACCATTCTCAAAAGTTACCGCAAATGTGATTATGCATGTAATGCTTTTATTATAAAGGTGAAGTTTTATGGTGAAAATGATCTTCCCCAAACTTGAAACTCACGTGCTGTGTATGTATGACAGTTAGGCTCTACACCCATTGTAAAGTGGATTAATGTGCTTCATTTTAAGAAGTTATTTGGCCACTTTAGTTGTGATACAAACCTTATCAAAAAATATAGGCCTATGGGCTAGGCTACATGAGGTGTGCAACTATGATTTGAAAAAGTCGCAAAAAAAGCTATGGGTTTCTTGCCTTAC